TATACATATACATATACATATGTCTATACATAAACATGTACATATACATTTTTTACATTCACATACACATATACATATACAAATATGTATATGAATGTGCATATGTGTGTGTGCATACACCGACACAACTACCTGTACAAGTACATATCTTGCGCGGTTCAATTTTGCTGGCAACCTGCAGCTTCTCTCTAGGCATCATCTTTCAAACATTTCCAACCGGAATAGAATCCCACTCAGTTGGTGCCTCCATCCTCCCCACGTCCTAGTCGGACCATGCTTTTGGCAAACTCTTTGCTGATGTGTGGTCACAGCGTGTCACTCATGAAGGGACCACTTGAAAAATGTTTCGTGCTTCCGCTTAACCGCTTTGTCTCAACCAACCGCCGATCCACCACCTGCTTCTGTGCTTGTGGTGTGCGTGTCCGTAGGCCCCAAGGGCACAGCATGATTCAGAACTTCTCGGATGACTGTTTGCATGGGACATGTAGGCCGCGATGAAACTTCTTGGCAAACACCGCCACCACGAAAGAACACTCAGTTGAACACGTGAAATTTTGCACACGAACTTTATCGTGCAGCCCAGTGGCACCCCTGCTCTTTCCAGAACCACGCACATGGCTTGCAGCCACCAGTGCCATGCAAAACTGACCCAACTGAGGGATTTGTGCCTTGGCATGATATGGTGGTGGCTAAAGCGATTGATCTGCAAGTCAACATGCGTCACCGTCCAAGATGCCCTCGCAAAGGGTCAGTGCACCAGGCACGCCAATCTCATCGGAAGCATCCTGGCCGAATGGCGTTGGCAACTCATCGCCGCAGAATAGCCGCAGATCTCCCACAAGCCAAACGATTGGACTGAACATGCATCCTTGCTCAAGCACACATCGGCGGCGGCAGGGCTTGTCTGCAGCAGTGCGCCCACGGCCACACGTTTGGCCTTGCAAGACTTGCCCTGAAGCCAACTTAAGATTTAGGCCACCATCGTTGCCCGGTGCTGGTAATCAATTTATCAAGTGCTACACTTGATGTTTTTCTGAGCTTCGCAACATGCTGCAAATGTCCTGTTCTCCGGATAACTGGCTGTCGACACAATGCAATCCAAACCGAAGCTAAGTCTGGAACCGGGGCATCACCCAGAACCAAGCCATGCCCTGGGCACGGTGCAGTTCCTCTGCTTCGTGGATCGACTGCAGTTGCAAAACTCAACTGCTAGCTCCTAGCTCGCGCATTTACATGTGCAACCCCGCCTGTGCAGTCGGAACTTTCTCCCATACCTAAACCCAGAACGCGAAACTCGCCAGATGTGTCCTGCTGGACCTGCCGCAAGGGCTGTTGAGACAAGGTCGTGACTGTGAGTTCCGAATGGCTCCAACCTTCAAGTACAACGGCTCAGGAAAAGCAGTGTTGAAGGAGACTGCCTGCAACGGCTGCATCTCAACAAACCTAGTGCTAACCGAACTAACACGAGTAAACGACCCCATCCTTGTCCCATTGCGCCTCCAATGGCACCCACCACTCCGAATCATTACTGCACATCAATGCAGACGGCATGCAAGTCGTAGCCATGTCGGCCGGTCTCTTGCCTCAGTCTCCGCCGTACACACAATGGCGTCTATTGACACCTGGTTTGCCATGTGAAATGAAAACCGTGATGTGTGTTGCAGCCCCACACCTGCAGTTGGTTGTATGGATGCCTCTCGGAACAAGCGCCTCGATTTCGAACCAGCGCTGCAGATTGGCAAGCTGTTTCGTGCAGACGCGGGCATGTATTTCGCGGAAGGCCGAAACCAGCGACAAATAACCCTGAATGAGTTCACTGTTTGAATTGAATGCAAACGCTGCCAAAACAGCAAAATGCATCTTGACAAGGACACGCTGCAGGCAAAACATGCCACGAACACGACATACATCCAGCACAAAGCACTATTAAATATCTCACAAAGCATGAAAACAAAGAGAACACTACGACTGCAATGAAAGCAAGAGTTTGGAAATCGTTGTTGCCCCCATGGCCCAACACCGCAATCGGCGACACGCTGTAATATCGTCACGCATTTGCACAATGTTCGCGTTCGCAGAAAAATATTTTCTTTTGCAACCGTACAACGGGTGGAACTTGAATGCAATGAACTTAAACCGTTGCAGCGACCGTTGCAAGCACACTCCCCGCACCTGCAACCTTAGGACCCGCTAGGATCGCTGGGACATTGTAGGATGTTGTAGGCTTGTTTTGTCGGTGAATGTTTTGGAATTGCAGCATATGGCAGCCGTAAAAATGACGTAGCAATGGCCTACGGCTTACGAAAGTGCACGTTGTCGAGGGCTCTCAAATGCTCTCAATGCTCAAAGAAAACACAATTCAATAACAGGCGCAGGGTTTGCCAAGGCGCTACGCGAGCATCCGTGTCCGCCTGCTTGGTCGTCGGGCAATAGGTGGGCACGGGGAAGCAGCTGCATTTTTTCCATGGACTTTATTACCGAGTTACGAAGAAGGACGGCCCGTATGGACAAGCCCAAAGCCAACGTGACAGTATACGGTACGCGTCCAAAGGTCGCGCACAAAGCGCGTTCAGACCACACGGCTGGCGAGCGGGACGAGGATGTCACTCAGGGGCGGAATCTCCATCAAGTTCCCATCGACATTTTCTGGGCCGGCGAGTCCGAGCAGCGGTTGGACCATGTTGGGCCTGCACAGGTCAGGGCATGTGCGCTTCTTAGCAGCACGGCCCCGGCGGGATGCCGGCCGCGAGAGCAGGGCGGGTCCCCATAACGGCAGACCAGTGGCTCTAATCTGCAGCTGTTGGCTCAACATTGTGGTTGCGACAAACGATGATTTCATTCGATGCATTTCATTACAAAACAGTGAACTGCGCAATCAGCCGTCGCATCTGATTGTCTCACTGCTTGCGCCTCAGAGACGACCCCGTGAACGACCATGTGTCATGGTCAGAGCGTGAAACTACTTTGTGCGCCAACCCGTTCATATGGTAATGAAGCACAAGGAGCAAAAAGCTACAAAAACACAAAGTAAGGTGAACATCAACTTCAATCAAGAGTTTGCAAGGTCGACTCACGAGGTAGACAACTTGTAAAGCTACTACGGAGCTTACGCAGGGACCAGCTCTTCTTTTTTTCGCACGGATTGTTTTCCTTGGCATGAGTCTGACGGGCCCGCCGCTCGTTTCAGCGCAGCCTCCTACCCTACGACGCTACGGGCCATGTAGCGGCAGGGGGCTCGGCCTTGCTGCGTCAGCAAGGTCGAGCACGCGTTCCAGCTCTGGGGCCGACTGTGGGCTGGCGTGGAGGGGCACCGGCCACGCTGACCCGAGGGCTGTGCTCGTGACGGCTTGTATGGTCCACCAACGCCGGGCCCATGCCAACGAAACAGCGCTTCGCACGGCTCACAGACCTCACTGGGCACGGACACGGTGCGCACCGGCATTCCACCGTCCGCC